CCCCCTGCTGCTCTGCCCCAGGCAGCCTCGCGCTGGGGCCATGGCAGAGGACGGGTGCAGCGAGCTGCAGGTGTGCCTGCTCTGTGCTGCTGTTTCCCCATCTGCGTTCGTGGTCCCACCGGGGCTTGCAGGGGAAGGACATTAGAAAGGGCCACTGCAGGCTGCACATGCTCCGTGCTGGTCACCGGAAATTTAATGTGCACGGCAGCGGCAGCCTCGGTGCGAGGGAGCAGAGAGCAGGAGCGAGGCTGGAGGTGGGCAGTGAGCTCCTACTGCCGTCCCTAACGGCGCGGCGCGAGGGAAACGGCCGTGCCCCCGCCTTGCCCACCACCCTGCCTGTGCCTCCGGGCGACGCGCTGAGCTCCCCTCTCCAAAACCACCGCCCTCCGATGGGCGCCAGCCCTGCCGCAGGACGTCACACAGACGAGAAGGAGGGGATGGAAAATGCAGGCTGCAGAGACGGGATCGGAGGCGACATCTCCAGCAAAAAGCCAGGCTGGAAACTCTGGCACAAATGGAAGTCGGTGGCACTGTGCGGAGCTGGGCTGGGAGGCACTGTCACCTCCAATCTGTCTCCAGCCCCCTCCCCCAAATCTCCCCCAGCCAGCGCTGCCCTAGTTTCTCTGCAGAGACGCCAGCTGAGGCAGAGCTAAAGCCCAGGGCTCTGGTCCAGCCCAGCTCACGCGTGCAGTGAGCTTTAGCAGTCCTCAGCCTGGCTCCCAGCACACAAGTCATGGCACTTCCCGGCAGCTGGGAGCAGAGGGACGGGGCACACATGGGTTGCCCCGAGTGCTCCCTGCCTGGAGGGACCTCACGGCTCAGCGCAAGGACCGGCTCTCTGCGGCCCGCACCTTACATCGACAGGGCAGAACCCAGTCCCAAAACGCTTCCTGTCGCCCTCACGTCCCCCACTGCTGTGGGCTCTTCCCCAGCTAGAGCCCTCCCCGATATCTGGGTCTCTGGCACAGAGAGGCAGCACAAGGATGGGGACGCCTGGCCCCCAGGCACCAATCCTGCCAACTGCACTTGTAAAGGCTGCCAGGAAGCGCTGGGCGCGGACCCAGATGGCAGCACTGGAGCCGCGCGGCAGGAGGGGGCCAGCACCGAGCACGAGGCCTGGG